ATTGTTTGAGAGTTTTCCATTTATATCTAGTCAAGAGCCATTAACCTGAATTTAGTCTGTGTTACTTGGTCATTTTAGTGGCTTCAACCAGAAACTCTGTCTTTTGCCCCTTGGATCTTCACAGGCACATGCCAACCCCATCTAGCCCTGATAAAGCTAAGCTGACCATCAAACCTTTTAACATATGCTGTCTGCTGCACTTCATCAGTTTGGTGACTACTCCTAACTTGGGCCCCATTTGTCTAGAGTAGAAGTAGCAGCAACTACATCTTGCTTCCAACCTATCTGGTTACATAGCAATAATGTATGGGCACTTCACTTTGAAGTGACCCTGCTGTTCCCATGCAAAGCAAATGATTTGGTCCTCCATTATGGAGTAACATCTAGGCAGAAGCATCAGTAGAATTGGCTATAGCACAAACATCATGGGGAAAGTAGGGAAGCCCTATCCATTCACTGAAACCAGTGGGGATGTGTTGCTCTTGTTAAAACTTGAGCTTGATGCAAAGCACTTACTTGATCAGGGTAGTTTGTCCAAGGTACAGCCACTGCAGTAATGACCTATTTGAAGTCACAACTTTGAATCTTCCATTAGGGTGAAAATATTCTTCACACTAGTGATTTCTAATCATCTTGTATGGGAGCCATCTATAATCTTATTGGCAGGGATATCATCATAATCTGTAGTTGGTGGAGATTATCTACCTAAGCAACCAAGCTCTCTGGGGAAACCTTTCCTTCGAGCCTTGAACTCAGCCTAATGGAAGGCTTGGTTCTGCACAACTTGATAACTGCTGTATCCCAGTCTTTGATAATGAGTCAGCCATTGTGTAGCTTGTTCTAGAGTGCAGCCATTCCAGGTTGTAATTTACCTAAAACACTTCAGAAAGCAGTCCAGATCCTATTTTGGTGCATCCTTATACACTGGGTGATATTTATGTAGCTTTTATCAGCTACAGTTTTAGTGTAAACCTCTCATACATGGACTCTTGGTCCACCTCATGCTGAGACATCATAAATGTAAGGAATGTGGTATACTGGGATCATTCAAGACCCCCAAACTCAAGCAAATGTTAAGTTCATATCATTAGGTTGCAGAAGGTGGAGTTAGTGACCTCAGGCTTCTCTGTTACTCATAGCACAACCCCCCCCCCACCCATTACCCAATGGCTTATGATTGCTTCACAAATCACCACCTTTACTAGTCCATGCCTGCTTTCTTACAGTTGAAATGCTTCTAATGGTGCCTCCAAACTGTCTTAGCTGATTCCAGGTGGCTTTGACCATGGCCAGGGTTGAACTACTCTGACAGTGAATGTATGTTAGTCTTATTATGACTGACCCATTTGGTCTCACTCATCAGATTGTGCACCACTGCATTTATGTTCAATCATCTGTACCTCTTACACTGAAGTTAAGCATTAAAGGGAGAACCTTATTGGCCATTCTGGGTGCACCAAATTCTAGCAGTTTTTTTTTTGATGAAGATCATGGACTTTGCAGGATCAGAAGAAGTCCAGTGTCCAGGAGAGTACTTCTCCAAAACCCACACCAACAACTCTCCCCAACAGCCATTACTTCACAGCTCCTGATTCTTCCTTCTGTTCATAAATCCTTTGACTCATAGAAATCCATGGCAAAAGCTTGAAAATGATAGAATTCTAGAGGACATACCCAAATGACAATTTCAATAAAAATGTAATTCACAACCTCATATATCAACATGACCTACTTCCAACATGAAAATATATATATATTATCACAAACAAGATACATAAGTCACATACCACAGGAGTTTAGACTGGCACCATAGACCGCCTAGTTTCCAGAAAGAACAAGATTTGTAGTACCAAAGATGCTAAGAAGGAAATAAAACATTATTACACCCATAATTTTCAATGAATACACAGAACACATAATAAAAAGGAAGATAAGAATGAGCAGAAGCAAAGTATTGACACACATACCAATATTACCTTATGTCAAGGGTCTCTATGAAAATATACATAAAATTAGAATAATGCAGTACTATTTAGTTGAAGTGCATTAGACCACTTAAAGACCCAATGGAGATTAAAAATTCCGTTTTCCAAATCCTT